TTGACGCCAATAATGTCGCAACAGAAATTGAGGAGCAACTGAGATATGACTCGGTAATCCCGGACACAGAGGACTGGCGAGTCCTGACAAGGTGTCTTGCCAAATTGTACCTCGCAGGAGGCCACTACGGCAAAGCACTGCACTGCTATATTCGCCTCCAAGATGCCGACACAGCGATGGCCCTGATCAAGGACCACCGACTGCTAGACACCCTCACCGACGATATCCCCGCATTCATTCTCATACGCGTGTCCAAGGAACAGCTGAAATCAGCACCTGTCGAGGAACTCGAAGAGCTCACCGCAGAGCCCATCCGGCTTCTAGTCAGCGAAGCATACACAGGCATAGTCCGGCCCGAGATCGTGGTCGATCAACTCCAAGCCGCAAACAAACTCATATACCTTTACTTCTACATGCGGGCTCTCTGGCGCGGCGAATCACTGCCTCACGGCGCCGCAAAACCTCGCCGCGGCCACTTCGCCCACATCCGAGACGCGGCCAACAAGCTCGCTGCCGACGAAGGCAAAGCACTAGTCGACAACTTCGCCGATCTAGCCGTAGAACTCTTCGCAGACTACAACCGGCCCCTGCTGATGGAATTCCTTCAAACCAGCACATCCTACTCCTTCGACATGGCCGTCAGCATCTGCGAAGGGCGCCACTTCACACCGGAGCTAATTTATCTCCTCTCGAAAACGGGACAAACTAAACGCGCCCTCAACCTGATCCTCTCCGACCTCAAGGATGTCTCGCAAGCCATCCAATTCGCCAAGTCCCAAAACGAGCCCGACCTCTGGGAAGACCTCCTCGATTACTCAATGGACAAGCCGCGTTTCATCCACGGTCTCCTCGTCGAAGCCGGAACCTCCATCGACCCGATCAAACTCGTACGCAGGATCCCAAGCGGCCTAGAAATCGAAGGCCTCCGAGAAGGTCTCACACGGATGATCCGTGAACACGACCTCCAAGCCAGCATAAGCCAAGGAGCCGCCAAAGTGCTCCAAAGCGAAGTAGCAGTAGGCATGGACACGCTCCGACGCGGCCAACGCCGCGGCATCAAATTCAACATAGTCGAAGAGGAAAGATCCATCCCTGGCACTCCCACCACCACTGCCACTGCCACTGCCGCCGAAGCAACCGAAAAAGACACCACCACCGCCACCACCAACAAAGCACTCAAAAGCGACGCCGACACAGAAAAGACCTCTTTCACCGCAATATCCTCAACCACTGCCACCCAGGCCGGTAGATGCGCAGGCTGTCATCGCCCGTTCCGCGCCAACGGTAAGAACCCTCCTCACCTATATAATACTTCCAGAAAACAGCACTCATTTTATGATCCACAGAAAAAGAAATCCTCGTCGGCTTCGCCTGCGGGCACATTTTTCACCTCTCGCACATCCACGCAACATCGGAGAATCCCTCAGCCACAAGCACACCATATACTCGCTCTGCGGTGCAGACTCCTCGACCGTTCTCGCCTGCGCCCGGGCAGATGCTGGATGAAGTGTCGATGAGTGCATCGCGCACGGTCGGACCGAAGGTGACGACTGCGCGGTTGTTGAGGGATAGGATTGGGGATGGATGTAGGATTTGTGCGTTGGCGAAGGAGTTGGAGGCGATTGGAGATTCCGAGTCGTAGGTTTATTCTGCTGTCTGTAAGTGTGAGAGGGTGGCTTTTGGATGGGTGCTCTGAGGAGGGAGGTTACTGTAGCTTTGCTTGGGGTGGGAATGTAGATTTGTCGGCTGCTCGGTGTGGCGACTTGAAGAAGAGGGGATCGGCTTTAAATTTTTTTTATTTGATGGTGAGAATGTTTTGCATTACTGGAAGGTATGAGTGCTGATGGGATTGCAGGTATTCATTTGAAGGGAGCAGTTGAATGATGGCCCTGTCATTCTACCAGTGGGGCTGTAACCACGGACAGTTTCACTACATGTCACATAGTTCGCCTGTATGGGTGTATGTTTAGTCTTTAGGAGATACCCATGGTAGCAATAATCTACTGCGCAATTGAGACAAGTATTAAGGCCCGTAAGGCTTTGAATTAGATCAAGCGGTATCTTGCCGCGATATTAGTTACAACACTCCTTTGAGAAATTCAAATGGCAACCTCTTGTGAGGCGCATCTCGACACAACGTTGAAGCCATTAAAATGGAAGAAAAACGAGAGAAAGAAAGAAGCACGCTCCATCAGAAGATTGAGTTCAACACCACCAGATCTTCGTTCACAGCTCAGCTGGAAACGAATTTCAAAGAACTGCTGGTAAGCGAAAGAAACATCTTCAGATACGCACGAGACTGAATGCCAAGGCAACGGCCAATGCAAAGGCGGACGACGCCATGCCCTCATAGTCATTGGCCTCGTTGGTGGTGGGGAACGAGGGGTGCGCATGAGTGCGGGTGCCAGTCGATGCAGTGGTATCAGTGCTGACTGTGTGATTTCCATGCTGCTCTCCCGAACTGACTGAAGAAATGATAGAATCATTCTCATCACTGGGAGCACTATGAGTTCCCGACGAGGTAGGATGGGGCACGGTGGTTTCAGGCACAGTCTGAATTCCAGTCATGACGGATGAATGTCCAGTGGCCAGAGACTTGGTAACTGACACAAAAGTGGTATCAGAGTTGACGTGAGACTGGCCGGTAGGAACCTCGATTGGGTTTCCAGTAGACACTTCGGCAGTAAGTCCCGAAGAAACCTCAGTGACAACACTAGTCATGGTTGGAACCACACCAGACACGACAACAGTCGGAATCAGGGTAGGCGCGGTGACGACTGTAGGGAGAGACAGGGTTCCGATGGTTGGAGCCACTGGAGTCTCCGTCTCGCAGATAGTCACGGTCAAGACGTCTAGAGCTAATCAGTACTCAAGTTTCTTATCAGGAGGTCTTCCAGGCTTACCGTCGTTACGAGTTTTGCCAACTCCCTCGGGCTTGTTAGGCTTGGGCCGACGATTGTTGGACTTAGGGACAAGGACCGCGTGGTGAGCTATATTATTGTCCAAGCCTGGTCAGTAGATCGTTCTCTCAGCTACCATCTGAGTAGTACTTACGAGCGAAGGCAGCCTCAGTCATCTCATGATAAACGCGCACAATATCGTCCACGACATCTAAGAGCGTTAGCAGCATGAAGAAGACAGTTGAAGTGTAGTACCTACTAGCACTGCAGCCGATACCAGCGAGGAGCCAGATGGCTAGAATGATCAGGTAGTTTACGTTCATTTTGAGGAAACGCTCTGAAGCAAAGATCTTCAAGTTGTAAGGAACAGGAAATAAACGAACAGTTGATGATGGTTAGGATTCTTGATGATGGAACCTTGATAGGAAGACTGGAGAACGACGGAAGGAGGACGGGTGGAAGACTGGGGAGAGGACTGGGAGAGAAGAAAGGAGGAGAAGAAGTAGTAGTAGAAGAAGAAAAGGATTTGAGGAGAAAGAAGAAAAGAATTCGAACGTGTTGTGTGTGTTGACAGGGTTGTGTCGCCGGGGCGAATGGTGTCGTTTTGGAAAGTGCGACGACGACATTACCAATACGGCAAGAGCAGTGTAGGCACCGACGACCAGCAGTTGAATATGGTAAACGGTGCTATACGGGAGGAATAGAGGTGCGTATGGTGGTAGTTTCTGCACAGCAATTCACATAGGGCTCGATCACGCTGATAAGATGGTGGCGTTTATGGGGTCTGATATCCACGTGTTTTCACTGTTATGCACTACGCTAAGGGCTCGGAGTTGAACTTCCGAGCCTTTGTTCAGTTATAATTATAGAAGCTAATCCTTCTAGAATATCTCCATGAAAGGAATTTAGTTGTCAAAAGAAGATCCATGCTAAGCCGGCACTCTATGGATGCACACGGGGTAAGCCATCGGCAGCCGGAGACGAACTACGCCAGGTCCCACCCTCAAATTCCTCCATCCACACGAGAAGCAATGAGCCCACCATTACTGACCTCTATTAAGTTGTCTCCCGATACACAGGGGCCAATGATTGTCGTCCTAAACCCTCTTGACCACCAACTAGTTCAGCCAAGCTTGATCCCGAGGAGCTCTAACATGAGGTTATCCCCGAATAAGCCACACCGCAAGCCATCAAACACCGATGTCTCAGATCGACCAATCAGTCTCTGCCATCGAGAAACAGAAAACTGGAGCATGGGGGATCTCAGTGGCAAAATTTGCTCTTGATCTCGAGCCGGTCCCCCCTCCGAGCTTCCCTTTAGGCATGTTTAAAGGCAACCTTAAAGCAAATCGATCCTGCCGTGACCCTCATACTAACGGCTACTAGATGGCAATCCCTGCACCGTGCAGAGATATGTTCGTATTGAGATCGGGAAATTTTTATACCAGTGGAGGATCTTGTACCTACTCCGGCAAGGTATCCGACATGGATGATACCCGATCTCAACGGTCAGTTGACCATGCAATCTTAGTACCAGATATTATTCTGACATACACGTGCCAACAATACCCGCTATATATAATTGACAGTTCACACTGCAGCCTTCAGAATCATCAAAGTTCGTGTTTGCGCACCATGTGATGTTGATTTTAGGGCCCCCTATCCGCAGCATCGCCGGAAATTCACCTCTGCGGGTGTTGTTTCCCGTATGGAATACTGCGGTATGGTTGGTATGGAATGGACAAGCGTAATTCAGTAACGGTTTCTGGTGTCAAAACTAGCGAAAAATACAGCGACAGACAGAGACCCCACATCGGCACGACCCGCGTGGAGGCGCCAGCCAGCAAAAAGCGACTGATGGCCAGCCGCTCCTTTCCAAGGAACTCTTTTGAGCTATGACGACATTGCAAGGTACCAAGTCCGATCCCCGATCCGATGCGTTGAGAGCCATGATGTCATCTGATTGTTCCCTTCCCCGATTGCCACTGTGACTCGCCCTGGGCTGGGCTCGGCTGCGTGAGTCGGCCCGAGTCTGGACCTGTCATCCGCATTCATTCACGAACTACTGCGTGAGGATGCATCTTCTTTTGGCCTTGACTTACAAACACTACAAAGAAAGGGAGATGCTAACAACGGTGTCATGTAGGGAGGGAGCGCTACACTTTTCCACCTCTTTCGATAAATTTCCAACATAATCAGTATGGCGCCATCTGTGTTCAAATCCCGTTGCAGAACACATATCCCGAACCTACCCCATAAACACAACCAAATTAGAAACTGCGGAGGCAAATAAGAAAAAAGTGGTCAGAATATTAAGGAAAAGCTCAAACACCGAGTCGGCCAAACGGAGAGCCTCTCTTCCTTTTTCCCTTCCCTTTTTTCCCCACCTCCCACGCGATCGGCAGGCCCCCAAATGCAACTGAAACGATTGGTCGATGATCTCAGGACAAGGTTTCTGCAAAGGGAGAAATGGATCAGCCAGAACCACCAATCTATCTCCCACAGACGTCATTGCCCAACGGCGGCTAGATAAGCCTAAAACCATATCACAGTTACTTTGTACAAAGTTGATGTGGAATTGTTACCGAGCCCCCCGATAGCACTTGCAATAAACAGAAACTAAAAAAAAGTTAATTTTTTTATTATCGTTGAGACATACCGCGAGTCTAGACCCATGGCTACAGACCCCCTGGCTTAGACCACGTTGTACAATCCGCTCGGTGATCACTTACTACTTACTTACTGTCTTATCTACTCGATACCATTTTTACTTTTGCGCTCTGTGTTCATTGGTGGCTTCCGTTCAGGTACCCTTGCAGGATAGTAGTACTACCAACATGAAAGAAAGCATAACACCATCACCACTACACATCTAACTACTTCTTCATCTATGTCAAAACACCATTCTAAGTAGTAGTAAAAGCCCGCGCCTAAACCCATTTCCCTCATCCATCAATATCAATATTGAAAATAATCTAATATGATAATACCGCCAACTATACCTCCCATAAAACTAACTAGTATAGTATGTATGCACCTCGACGGGGCCAGCCACCAAAACCACCACCCGCAGCGCCATGGCGCCAGCCCAGTCTTATACTACATATACACGACAGCCACAAGCCAGCTAGTCAAGTAGTTAGTGAGATAGTTTAGTTATCTATCTACGCAGCAAACAATTCCATGTACTCCGATCAATACATCCATACATACGTACATACATACGTACATCTTTACAATTCATACGGAATTACCTCCATCGATACATACATACATACAATACCAACACATCCAGCAAACCATCTACTTTTACTTTCACCTCGAACTCGATCGTCGTAAGCCTACTACTACCTACTCCAAATCTACACCCAAACAATAGCGTAGATAGATCTATGGATCTATGGATACCAAAGAAAACTGGAGTATGTACGGAGTAGTTCCTAAAAACCCAACCATATACCCGATCGGGAACTCATCTCCGCATAAGGCAAAGGCCTACGTAGCAAGGGGGGGTGCCCGGGAGTGGAGGAGGGCCGCGAAAGGTAAGCATGTGCGACAGATGACTGACTGAACCCTCTCAACGAAACAAAGAACTGACCTCCCCCCGTTACCCTGCCCAAAAAGGGTAAAAGGCACGCATCGGAAGAAAAAAACGAAGCAGAAGAAGAAAAGGGACGGGTATATGCTCGGCAGATACACACACACACACACATAACCCCAATGAATATACCCATGGGATGACGGGAATGAGGAGGAGATTTTAGTGGAACATAAGAGAAGATAATGACGATGTTAGCTACCAGTAGCTAGTAGTAGCAGGGACCATAGTTACCATCCAATTTACTGAGAAAAAAAAGAAGAAGAAGAAAAACTAAGCCATTCCCCACTTGAAAAGGAAAGAAAAAAAAAATTCAAATCAAATCAAAACGAACGGTAAAGATTATTCCGGAGCCATTCGAGAGTCAGTGGGGGGCGGATCTGACATCCGCCAGTAATATTACGTGCTGTGTTTTTCCGCGGTTGTGCGCCGAGCGTTGCCGGAGGAGGAAAAGGGCCCTACCAGTGGCTTTTTAGCGCGGCCTGTCGGCTACCTTACTACTTTGTAGAACTGGTGGCCCACAGTAAGTCCCATGGGTCACCTTCCTTATTGTTCATTTTATTCTCTGATTCCATATCCACAGTAAGAGTAGTCTATCTACGTAACTGTCTAGCCCAGCGTCGGTTATGATGTAATTGTTGGCTGGGATCCATTTTCCTCGCCAATGACATTACATTCAGTGTCTGTGCTTTGCTCTCTCATGTCCTCAGAGATTCAGTCCTGGTGACATGGTTGCATGTGGTGATCTTCAGTTCCTGTGTACTATACTATTCCAGGACGTGGGTGGCGAGTCTCGGAATATATTCGGATATCTTACGGAAATACGACGGAAATCTGTTCCAGATATTATAACCTCTCTATTGCACGGGTCTGTCGTATATCCAACCTAGTGCTTTTGATGTAACATGAATAGCAGCTTCAAACCCGTTCATCTTCATGGGTCCGAAGTATAGGCAGGTCTGCACGCGGAACCCATCACAGCGCACACGAAACAAGTCAAGGCATCATTCTGTGCTGCGTAGACGCTGAAGCTTGGATCATAACAGGAGGAGCCAGTACATAGCCCATCCGATAACGGAAACACCCAGACCATCCAAGAGGGGAGAAATAGTGAAACCATCTCGGTATGCCGGTGTGAAAAGAAAATAAAGAAACGCAACAGCAGCAGTGAAGTAATTCCGACAAGAATGGACAGGGTATCTATCGTGTTCCTCGTACCTCAACCAGATCCTCGAAATTACAAACCAGATAATATCATCAAGAGAAATCGATCCATTGCCGGGGCCGTGTATCCCCAAACCCAGACGACGTTGCCGACAAGGAAAAGTTTAGGATATCGTCAATGATATAACACACAAAGATAAAAGACAACAAACAAAGCACGTATATGGCGACAGGGTATCATTGCTCGGGAACTCGTGTATTATTCCCTATCCAACGAACGCCCCGTAGATTGATGCAAGCAATCCCAAACTCCGAATATGAGGCATGCACTTGAGTAATGTATGCGAACAAGCGTACCTCATGCCACGCACCAGGCGCCGAAAAGACTGAAATGACTGAAATCCGTACCGAAAGAAAGAAGCCCCCTGTTGAGGGTTGAGACAAAAAGGTTAGACGAAGTGAAATTTACGAGTGACGAAGGACGAAAAGAGCGTCGTGATTTGCCGAGCGGCAGGATTAGTAGCTCAATTTGACCTCAACGGCAGGACTAATGTTTCCCGATCCCGTAGCTGCTGCGGTCTCAAATGATGACGCCTCGGAAATTTCGACAACCATGTCTTGGCCGTCTGGGAGCTCGCGAACGACATCATCATCTACCATTATTTTTAGGCCATTTTGCTTGACGTGGAGGACTCGTACAATGCGCTGAGGATCGATGCGCTGCTTCATGGAGATCTTCTCCATTAGATCGCGAACCGTCCGTTCAGTCAAATAGACCGCTCGGTAATAGTCATCCGAACGCTGATCGTTGCGTGGGAATCGTACGTAGAAGCACGCGACTAGGAATGGGTCAGTTCGCGTATCTTTTAATGGTTACAAGCTTCGACTTACTTGGCTTTACTGGACGCTCCGCGGGGGGTCGGTAAGTTGGGTCAATGTCTACCGCCTCTATGAATCCCATGGGCGCGCTACCGTCAGTCGAAGCCACTTTCGGTACCTTGACGGGATGCTTTAGTGTGACCTTGTCGCCCAGGACTTCAGAGCACGGGCGCGAGTTCTCTCGAGACGTGCTCAGGGATCCATGGTACGCCGAGTCATAGAACATGTTCGACTGGAGGTTGGTCGGGTGGCATGGCGAGTTTATTGAGATGTTACTGCTGGTGGGCGAAACGGCATGCAGAGATGCGCCATCAATACTGAAGCGGGATCCACGGCTGTTCTCCCGTTTGAGGAATTCCCGCGACTCGGGGAGCATGACAGGGAATAAGTCCGGGTCGTCTTGCTCCTCGCCCCGCAATCCCAGAATGCTTACCGGTCGCGTTGACGTGAACATGTCTTGCATCAACGCGAGCTTTGCGTGGAGATCGTCCTCCAAAGACATCTTGCCAGGGCCGTCCTGCGAGCCCATAGACCATGTCCGTTTGTGCTTGGTAATCTTGGCCGGGCGCGGGTCAGCACCCTTAAGAGCAATGGAGCCATTGCTACGCTTGCGCTTCCCGTAGTTACCGGCGCCCATCTCGGCTTGAGCAATCTGTTGTCGAAGTTTCTCAATGGTCTTCTTGACATGAGCGACGTCGTTGGACAGCTTCCGCTCAGCACCATGGTCGCGGAAAAGCTTGACCTTGCAGTAGCACACCTCCGATTCTTTGCCTGAAGTTGAGCTCGAATCGTCAGGAGAGACCATCTCTGTCTTTGCACACAATCTGACCGGAATACCCTTCACACCCTTAGAATGGCTAAAGTCCGTCGACAAGAAGTTGAATCGAACCGGAATCGAGCACTCCGAAACTCCGGTTGACGGGTTGAGTGTCCAGGTGACGCAGAAACCATCGAACGATGAGCTCTCGAGCTGAATTTGCCGGTTCTTTGTGTCTTCGATGCCGCCTTGTATGGGGTCGACATATTCCACTGCTTGGAGCTTTCCGCCTCGTTGATGCGCTTCATTGGAACCCCGACCTTCCTTCCATAACTGCCAACAAGCAGCCGGCTTTGCCCTCTGCTCATCTTCTTGGAAAGACACACGGATGAAGGTACGGTATTTGATCGGTTGCGTGGTCATGGGCGGCGGAGTAGAGTCAATCACGGAAACTGAGTATGCCTGGCCTTTATTTAGATATGTGACTGGGATCTCGGCTTGATGGTTGATCATGGCCGTGGGAGCGCGCAAAGTGACATGATAGCGAAACCTGTAGCGTCCAGCACGGTTAGCGATTGAACAAACATGATGAAAAGGGTGGAGCGCTCACGTTTCACCTGGGTTGTGCATACTCGCTTGATCGTCCTGAATTGTTGACGTAACGTAGTGAGAAGACGCATTACCCTGCATATCCACATCATTTAGAGAGAGTTCTTCGACAGATTCGTCCATGGCATCGTAAGCTGCATCACTCTGAACGAAAGCACCGGGCGCAAATGCTGGCTGCTGAGCAAACGGTTGGGGGTTGTGGAAGTGTGGCGGGATGTACTGCTGGTCAAAGTGATCGAGGCCCAAGGCTGCAGTGCCGGGGTTGATGGTCGCCGCGGAGATCTGCTGCGGAAGAGAGAGCGGAGTAATCATGCTCAAACCCATGCCAGGGGTATGCAAATCTCCTGCTTGGCTGTGGTATACTGCACCCAGACCACCTGAGTTGGGAGTATAGTAGCCATGTGGCTGTAGTGGGTTTACATAAGAGACAGCATTCGGATCGACAAAAGGCGCTGCAAAACGCATATCTTCCGTGGCGCGGGGTGTAGGATCATTGAGCTTCATATCGTTGTTCATACTCAACCTGGCGCAGAAATATCATGTTAGCTTTCGCCCAAAGATTTCTCCGAGCTCCAAAATAACCAACACAAGGATGAGAGAGAGAGAAATAAATTGAGGCAGATACTGAAAGAATGAAAAAAGGCGTATTTACCTAGCTGGAGTGATAGGTCC